AGAGAAAACAATGCAGTGCAATATGCTTTTCTTTAATAAGGTAAATAGCACAATAAGCTTATAATCTTCAAGGCTCAACTTTTTTTATTTCAGAAAAAGAACAGAAAAAAATTCTTATTCCTCAACATAACTAAAAAGTCTTTTTATTCTGTGGAAATTCTAATCTTACTGTAATAACACCGGTAAAGAACTGGGGAGAAGAGGAAGAAAGGATGAAGTTGTTGCATACCTGTCTTCTCACATATCTGTTTAATTTTTGCAGAATTCATTTTATTAAAAATAGTGGTGGGAACCAAGGTAGTTTTCCATCAAGTTTTTCATTTCTAGTGATATGTAGATCCAGAAATTAGCTAAAACACATCTCTAGAATACTGAATGCTTGAAAAGTACATTTTCATTTTCTTTATATCAAAATAAGGAAGGACTGAATTCTTCAGCACAATGTAGCTGTGAAGATTAAAATGCCAAAGTACTTTTCAGTGATTTCCCCAGCTTGCTTATAAATGTCATTGATTTTTTTCTTTTGTATTAGTCATTCCTGAGAAGCCTGAGACTGAACAAATAAATTGCATGGACCTGCTAGCAGCAGTCATGGATAGAATGAAGTCTTTCATAGGTCCCAGTTCAGCATTTTGTTTGAGCATATGCAGAGTTCTTCCAGGCACACTTTTGCAGCAGCTGGCTAAGGCAGGGATCTGTCACACACTGGAGAACACATCTGGCCCATATGTTGTTGGAACAGAATGGAAGCCACACAGATTTCCATAAAAATGCATCACACATCTGTGTCTCTCTGAGCACAGTGGCACAGCTCTTATATGCAGCATTTTTATCTGCTCCAAGATCCACATACTACAAATAGCTGACCAGCAAGACAACATAACCATGGGAGCATTGTGTGGACATGATTCTACAGCACTTTGTAAAGGAATGAAACAGAAGCACATAGGAGAGCATAAGGAGTGATCACATGAATGAGTTGTGTGCTCCATTTCTGTACACTGATAGTTTATTGAGTCTGAACCACAATAAAATAATGCATTGTGCTAGTTCTTGTGTACTGTAAGTTACAAATCTATACAAAGAAAATTGCTGCTGAAGTCATTCAGAGGGCAAGTACCAAATACAATGGAGAAAAGAAAGAAAACAGTACAAGTAATAGAAGGTTCCCTGTTGCCCTATCACATGTTTAGTATCCGTGCATATGTTCTTGAATGCAGATTAGGTAAGCAAAGGTTCTCCAATAGAAGTCAAAAATAAACACTAGGGACTCCCTAACACAGCTCAATTGCATTGCTCCATAACTTTCTGAAGAATGGAGAGTTCAGGAAAAATAAAGGTTCTTTCTTTCTGGTTGGACATTTTTAAGTTATCTTTTGAAGGACCATATAAAATGATTTAGTTCTCAAAAAATAACTGAATTACATAAATAAAACATTACACAAAAGACATCTCAGTGCAATTTATGTGAAGTGAATTTCACAAGGACTTGTCTATTGTAGAAAATTCAACTTATCGCTTCTGATCCTTTTATTCTATCTAAACATAGAAATTTATGTCAGTTCAAAAAAAATCTATTACTGTTTCTCATAAGTGAGTCCATTATTTTCCCTCTATGATCGATCAGGTAAAAACAAGTGCAATAGATATCTCTAGCAGAACCTTGAACATAAAAGACCTCAAGAACAGAATAAGTTAAACTCATCTCACTGTGCACTATAACTCGAAACGATAACCTTGATGCTTAATTTAAATCAAGTCATAGCAAAGACTTCTGACTATAATTGTTATCTGTCATATAAATAAAATTATTATAAAATGAAATTGGACTTGGAAAGGTATGGTTTTGCTTGCTGCATCGCTTGTAAGCAAATTGAAATCTGCAAAGTTTTATAACCCTTTGCCACATTCTTCCTACAGACTTTTTCAGCAATGGAGCCATTTGACTGCAAAAATATGGAAAGAGCTGAAAACAACTGATAAGTTTCCACATTGCTCTCTATTTCCAGAGCTTTGCTAATTCCATTGTATTGCTGACTTTTTCTCTTTGTTCCCCTGCCAGACCAGGGAAAAAGAGATGCAAAATTAGAGCTCATGTTAGAGTATATATCGTTTCACTGGTATAACAGCAGTTTACAGACAGGCAAAATAAGGCAGCAAGTGCAAGTGCATGGTTTTAAGCCAGAAAAAGAAGCCACAGGATCTCAACAGGAGCCCAGCATGCCAGGCTGTATTATCTGGAGGTCATCACATGCAGGTGCCTGCTCCACACACAGCTCAGCAGGATGCAGCTCACTGGCAGGCTCTGCTCCTCTCAGCTAAAGGTGGTTCATGAGGCCACGCTTGGTAGAGGTAGCTTGGCTAATTTCAGTTTGTAAAATGGGGTTATTACACACACCCCTCAGCAAAGAGTCCCATCTCTCCTAGATAACTTCATAGTAGCAAACAGAATGAAGCCTGCTAGGGGTGTTTTAGAGGAGAAACCCATTTTTTGGTGGTGACTCACCATTTCAAGGAGCCTCTCTCTCTCTCTTTTGGCTATAGGAGAAATTACAAATACAAGGTATTCAGCTTACCCGGATGAACAGACCTTCTATTCCCTATGTATTGGTTTAAGAGGATAGTTACCGTACAGGTGTGCTTTATTCAGAATTAGAGATTGATGACTACAAAAAGGGAAATATAACCCCCATTTTCAGGAAGGGGAAAATGTATGACCCAGGGAATTACAGACCAGTCAGTCTCACCTCTGTGCCTGGCAAAATCTTGGAGCAGATTCTCCTGGAAAGCAACAAAAAAAAAAGCAACAAGGTGCTTGGTGACAGCCAGCATGGCTTCACTAAGAGGAAATCCTGCCTGACCAATTTGGTGGCCTTCTGTGACAGGGCTACAGAACTGATGGACTGGGTAGAGCAGTTGATGTCATCTACCTGGACTTGTGTAAAGTGTTCTACACTGTCCCGCATGACATCCTTGTCTCTAAATTGGAAAGACATCAATTTGATGGATGGACCACTCGGTGGATAAAGAACTGGCTGGATGGCCACACGCAAAGAGTTGTGGTCAATGGCTCAATGTCCGGCTGGAAACCAGTAACGAGTGGTGTCCCTCAGGGATCGGTGTTGGGACCGGTCTTGTTTAACGTCTTTGTCGGTGACATGGACAGTGGGATTGAGTGCGCCCTCAGCAAGTTTGCCGATGACACCAAGCTGTGTGGTTAGGTTGATACGCTGGAGGGAAGGAATGCCATCCAGAGGGACCTTGACACGCTTGTGAGGTGGGCTGATGCCAACCTCATGAAGTTTAACCATGCCAAGTGCAAGGTCCTACACCTGAGTCGGAGCAATCCCAGGCACAGCTACAGGGTGGGCAGAGAAGAGATTCAGAGCAGCCCTGCGGAGAAGGACTTGGGGGTGTTGGTCAGTGAGAAAATGAACATGAGCCAGCTTCAGTGTGCGCTTGCAGCCCAGAAAGCCAACCGTATCCTGGGCTGCATCAAAAGGAGCGTGACCAGCAGGTCGAAGGAGGTGATCCTGCCCCTCTACTCTGCTCTTGTGAGACCTCACTTGGAGTATTGTGTGCAGTTCTGGTGTCCTCAGCACAAAAGGGACATGGAACTGTTGGAACAAGTCCAGAGGAGGGCCATGAGGATGATCAGGGGACTGGAGCACCTCCTGCATGAAGACAGGCTGAGGAAGTTGAGGTTGTTCAGCCTGGAGAAGAGAAGGCTGTGTGGAGACCTCATAGCAGTCTTCCAGTGTCTGAAGGGGGCCTGTTTAGATTGGATATAAGGAGGAAATTCTTTACTGTAAGGGTGGGGAGGCAACTGGAATGGGTTGCCCAGGGAGGTCTGAATGCTTCATCCCTGGCAGTGTTCAAGGCCGGGTTGGACAAAGCCTTGGGTGATATGGTTTATTGTGAGGTGTCCCTGCCCATGGCAGGGGGGGTGGAACTGGATGATCTTAAGGTCCTTTCCAACTCTAACTATTCTATGATTCTATGTCACTTCAGTAGAGTCCTACAAAATCCTTCTACTCAAGGGCAGAGGCCAGTACAGTGCAGCTTGGACCAGTTGGTCTAATCTGGAACTCTGAAAACTTTGTTATTCCCCTGCTGTAAGTTTTTCTTTCTTTCTTTTTGTCCTGGTAGCTCATCTATGAACTGCACATATCTGTGCTTTTTAAAACTGCATTTTTTTCATCAACAGTTCTTTTGAGTTGGGCAAACTCAGCTTTCATTTGCAACACTCTTAATGCTTTAAGTCTGAAAAGTCATTTTAGAAATAGTGAATGAACATCAAAATTGCAAGCTTGAGGCAGAGATCTTTCCAAATAACAGCATTCCTGTTCTTATTACATAAACCTGCTCTGTGGGATTTGCTAACCTCATCCTGTAACTCGGTTAAACACAGCTCCTAGCCAGATGAGAGACACGGATTGATGGAGGTTTGATATTCATAAAAAACTCTGGTTGGGGCCATGATCCAGTAGCTAGCATGAGTCTCAAAACAAACATGGATGGAGGACAGCAGGCGACTTTAGCTAGGAGTCTCCCATTTCCCTTCATGCCAATTCTTATCAGGATGGGTTTTGAAAAGCCATTTAACCTCTTCTTCTTTCAGAGTGGATGATTACTTTCCAAAATTGCATGGATGCTATGACAGATAATTAATTATTGTTGTCTCATGCTTTATAAATTTAATTAGTATAAAGATGGTTAGCAGGAAGAAACAGTGCATAGAAAATGAAGGTGAACGGAGACGCAACGCTAGGAAGGCTCCAAGTGTAGTAAGATAGAAAGCATAGAAAAACAATAAATAAGGAAAGGAGTTTTAAATAGCAAGAGATGTGTATGAAAGAAGAAAAAGGTGTGCTGCCTTCCAAAAGTAGAGGAGGGGAAAGGGAAATTAAAAATTAGAAGCAAGGCACTGAGATGAATTGATTTGAAGTATAAAGAAAAGAAAAGAAAATGAAAAAAGATGTAATAAAAGCCACACAATCTTTAAAGTAATGAATCTTTTCATTTATTTATACCCTTTTTTTATATGAAAAGAAAATGGTAGACCACTCATACTGAGCTCACACTATGTTAGCACAATACAGCTATTAATTCCTGGATTATGTTGTTAAATAATTAACTTGTGCATCATAAGTAAATAATTAAACCTTGGTTCTCTAAACCTAACTGCGAACATAAAACTGGCAGAGTGATACCAGATTTTAGCAGAACCAATATTGTAGTAAATTAGACAAACTGCAAAAATATTCTAAAATCTGTAGCTGTAAAGACTGTTAGCAGAAGCACTTGGGCTCCATTTCCCCATGGAACAAAATAAAATGGACCATCTATTATTTAAACCTCCTTTATTAAAGTTTCATCTGGAGAATATGGAACCATGGATTGCTAGTTGCTCTGCAAAATACCTAGATCTGCCCTGGGTCTTGTCCTGTTGGAAAGGGTCTGTGATTTTGGCAGCAGGATGGGAAAGGGTGTCACTGTAGAAGGCTAAGGCAGTCTTGAGTTCATGTTAAAATATCCTTTCCTCCAATATCCCTAAAATGAAGAACTACAAAACAAATCCTTACACCTCAGTGGACAGTAATTCACCAGTTCCATGGCATTATTTAATAATACTAAGAACAAGCAGCTTTTAAATCTAATAATATTTACTCTTGTGAAAGAGGAACAGTAAACAAATTAAAAAGAATCATTCTTTGCATCCACAGCACAAAATAATTCCTTTTCTCCCATGAACATCTGTTTTATTTTCTGATATAGCAAAGCACAGGTACAGTCTAAGCAGGGCAATTAATCTGGATTCTGCCATCATCACCATCACGCTATTATTTTTATATTATTTTACAGTGAGAGGTCATTGGAAGCACAGATCCTGCTGTGCAGAGTCATCACATTCCTTCATGAGAACAACATGGTAGGAACAAAAAATCTAAGGAGCAGCAAATAATCATTCCAACAGAAAAATGACAAAACACTACAGTGGTTATCGAGCAACACTCATTTCATTTGTTCATTCTTGCAATTTGGTGTTTAAAAAATAAATAGAAGACATTTTAATTTTTAGAAGCCCCCACCCCTCCAGGTCCCTGATGCTTTGTCTCACAAAACACTTGCTAGCAGCAAGAATTTGAACTGTCTGAGTACCAGCACAGGGAGGAAAACATACCAGAATTCCTCAGCACTCCCTAAGAATCTCCACATCTGGGCTCAGGCTGATTCCACAGCCATGCTAGTAGGGTCTGTCCTTCCGTCCCTGCCTGGGGGTTCATTTCACCAAGCCTGGGCATGGGCATAGGCAGAGGAGTCGGCCTCAAAGTAGCACTCAAGCTGCCCACAGAGGGCCTCAAAGGTGGGGCGCCCACCTGCCTCTGCACTCCAGCACTGCAGCATCAGCTCATAGAGAGGCACCGGGCAGGTCTTTGGCTGAGGAAGTCGGTACCCCTTGTCCAGCATCTGGACCACCTGGTGTCCTGGCATCCCTGTAAGCAGAAAGGAGTTCATCAGACTGCTGGGGGTCTACTTAGTGATGCCACATGTCTGTATCTGTTATTGAGATAAGGCAATGGGATGCCTCACTGAAAAGTACACCTGCACACTGAGGGCAGAGCTGGCCTCAGCAGGTGCCTTCAATGGCCACAAGCCACAGCAGTCACTGGAAGATCCCACACCAGCAGCTAAAAACACATCCAGCATCTCCCAGCCCCTTTGCCCCAACTAAGCCACCTGAGAGGTATAGCGAATGAGTTGTTCTGTGTGGGAGGCTTTTTCTCCACCACATGAGTTTGCTGAAATTTTTCTGAGATCTATTTTCCTTAATTTATTCCTAAATGTCCCTAGTCTCAGCGACTCCAAAATATCCCAAGAAAATCTGCCCTAATTCTGAATTTTTCTCACATTTAGAAAGTTTTCCCTAATATGACCCTTAAATTTCCTCTGGAGCAGCTATGTGGTGGCATCCTGCCTGCTCTGTCACTACAAGTCACGGAGAAGAAACCACTCCCCTACATTTGCTATACATTTCTATATTAAGACTATTGTCCTTCCCTTCTAATTTTTACTCTTTTAATTAAATCTTGAATTATGTAACTTTTTCTTCTTTTCCTTAGATCTCTAAATGGTATTTCCTCTCTACATTACCCACTGTGTATCAATATACCTCTTCTCCTAATTAATTGCTGAGGCCAAGCTCCTGAAAGTAACATCAAGTAAGCAAATAGCCATAGCAAAAGCACATTTTTTACTGTTTAAGTCACAGGTAAACTACGCCTTTGCAAAGGGATAATGCTGAACATATTTTCAGACAATACTGAGAATTATGGTCTTTCTTACACATAATTTATACTTGAATAGTTTATTTATGTGTGCGTGTCCATATGCCCAGACCTATAGTTTATATAAGAAAGAGTTGAGGGGTTTGGGCTTTTGTTTCCTTTTATTTTTTTTTCCTCTTTTCAGAACAGTTTCACAGGCGGTGAGGGTAGGAATCAAAAACAAAATCAATTTTTCCTTTTACAGGAAGTACCAGTTTGGGACCCTGTGAAATGTAGCGTATGATGAACACAACACCCCTCAGGCCTATACAGATGCAGCATAACTTTTTTTTTGCTTTAGTCCTTCCCTTGTGTTCTCCTCACAGCACAAAATGAGTCACAGTCAATCATCTCACTGATATCTTGTGTTATTGGAGGCACAGTTCCTTGAGCATTTCTCACAGTGCTAGGAATAATAGCAGCTCACATACTTTTAAGGTTGGTGGCATTTTATTCCTAATTCTTGTGATCTTTCTCTTTTTTAAGGCTTTCCACTGCAAAAGTCAAATATGAGGGAAGGGAGTAAAACCACTTGATTTATTTTTCATTCACCTTCTTCCTGAACTGCCTGTGCAGAACTACTTCATGCATAATAATCTTTTTCCTTATGAGAGATCCTAAAAAAATAAATTAAAAAAAACAAAAAACAAAAAACAAATCCTAAACAAATTCTCTCCTCCTCAAAAAAAAACAACAAACAAACAAACAAAACAACAACAACAACAACAAAAAAAATCCACCGAGGTCAGGGTGGGAGACAGAAAAACCTTCCCTTTTTCCACATTCCAAGAACTGGCATCTTTGTCTGATGTTGGAGGGAAAAAGACAGCTGGCTGAGGTGCCTGCACAGTGCAGGTTGGCTCCAGCCAGGGAAAGCTCAAACGGCTGCTAATCACACCCTTTGGAAAGCTTCCAGGTAGCCTGGGGCAGCCAGAAGGTCTGACCCACTAAATGGACCTCATCTGAGCAGCCTTTTTTCTTTATTTACAGTTTTAACCTTTAACATGCCCGTAGTACAAGTACTCAATTTTTTTGTGTTGTCATTCTTAAAGCAAGAAAACATTAGGCATCATTTTTTAGGTAAAAGCACTTACCAGCATAAGGCATCTTCCCATAGGTGATTATTTCAAACAGAAGTATTCCAAATGACCAGACATCTGACTTAATGCTGAATTTGTTGTACCGGATTGCCTCTGGGGCTGTCCATTTCACTGGAAGTTTTGTTTCAGGCCTAGCTTCATATATGTTTTCATTTTCCACCTGTCACGGGTAAAACAAGGCAAAGCACTTAAGCACCCAACTAAGCTAAGCATGTGCTTAACCTTATCATCTTTCATCCAAGCACTTGCCTTTCATGGTGTTAAAGCATACACTTTCTGAAGTCTGTTGTTGAACTGGGCTTCACAGTTGTGCAATGCTACTGTTCATCAGAGGCTTTTCTAAAGCATTCATCATTTCAAGTGAGCCCACAGCGTTGGAGTGGTTCATGATTAATTATGACCTGCTTCTGTGAATTCTGGACCTGGCATGCATGATTTCAAGTCTGTCAGGAGTGGCAGTGTAAGCATCCTGCTGACAATAGAGACCAAATGGTTCTACGTCTGATCTTTAGTAAACACAGAAGGCAAGAGGAAGAGCTAATAAATTTCAGAATGTTTCTTCTGTGATTTACTGCAGTGCTGAAGGGCCATTGACTTTGATAACAATCACTTAAGCAGGTTTTGAGGACTAAAGAACAAGCTCTAACTTATTCAAAATAAAATATTAGCTTACAGTGGATCCAATTAATTCATGTAAAATGAAGATGAAAGGCACATAAAAAAAAGACAAATTATTTACTTGCAAATTTGAGGAATCATATCCTTAAAGTTTTACAGCACAGATATCTAAACTTTATTCTGTCTTTGATTCCTACACATAATCTAGTGTATATCAGTCACATCCAAACCTTGGTCAGGCTTTTCACATGCAAATCCAGGCAAATGTGTACAAGATTTTGTTTGATTTTTTTTTTTTTAATACAGAATGCACATTTCCCATCTGTCGTGCCCTATACTGCTGAAAAGACTGGTTGTTACTGTTTTGTATCTATGTCTACGGACCTACTGATACAGCTAGCATCTTGACCATACTGTTCATCTCTAGAAACAAGAAATTATTTCATTATGCTAATTAACACATACAGAAATACAGATTTTATTTCTCACACCTACCCTGGGATCTTTGAATGTGACCATGTTAGTGCTTTGGCTTAGGAGACAGAATACTCCTAAGAAAGTCTGCCAAGATGACTCTATGACAGAGCGTCTCAGTAAAGCTCAGTTTCAACAAGAAATGTCAGCACCTGTAAATTATTACTTTCTTTAGTGAGGACAGAGGAGAACTATCCATTGTAAGCATTGTTCATTTCAAAATATATATTTTTCATGTTAAAAAATGTGTAATCTAAACTTATGCATAAATAGAAGAATCAAAATTATGCAAAAAAGCACTTTCCAAGTCCCTTGATGCCATTGCCTAGTCATTATTCTATACTTCAGTATGTAATAAATCCAACTCTGTTATGAACTTCAATTTCTGCTGCTTGAATGGAAAGAAACAAACAAGAAGCAGAGGGCTTTTTTCTTCATTTTTCTTCTCAGTGCAAGAATATAAATCAATAAAAACAATAATAAGACCTCAGAAATTATGGATTACATGTTGAAATCCATAAAATATGGCAAATCAAATCTTTCCAACTATGATAAAATCATTTTCAGACTTAGGAAATCTCATTTCTAAACCACAGCTCTTTCCTAGGGTGATGTTGGTCAGCACTATTTGGCATTCCACATCCTCAAGGGCTAGAGACAAAAAAAAAACAGTGCAATGGGAAAGAACTTGAAACACATCAGATTTAAAGCTCTAAGAGCTTATGTTATGAACTCCACTGTTAGCCACAGAGAGGAATAAGGTCCCTTTATGATTACTACCTGCACTTGCAAGCATCAAGGAGGCAGTGGGGAAGTGAACAAAGAGAGAATAGCTGTCAATACACTTTTTTATGCCTTCCCTCACAGGCTCAGGAATATAATCTTGCCATCATTCCTGTGATCTCTCTCCATGTGGCAGACACTAGTGTTGTGGACAAAGGTTGTGCAGCAAAACGTATTGCTTGCCACTCTCCTTCCTTGGTGGGTGAGTGGGAAGCAGATACTGGGATGCCATCTTCAGACTGACACAAAGGCATAGGCCAGCTTCTAACCTTGCATGGGATAACACAGGTAGAGGATACAAGTGAACACAGTAGAGGTCCTTGTCTCCCTGGGCATGCTTTTTGCCTGAACCCAGCAATGCAGAGGCTACAGTTCATCTTTTAGTTGACCTCCTCCACCTTGTTACCCGGAGTTAAAGTAGAGCCAGAACACCCTCTCACAACCCACCTTAAAAACTCTTGCAAGTCCGAAGTCTGCCACTTTGTAAACACTGTGTTCACCAACAAGAACATTCCTGGCTGCCAGATCCCGATGGATATAGTTTTGAGATTCAAGGTAAGCCATCCCCGAAGCCACCTGAGCAGCCATGTCTATCTGATGTGGCAGGAAGATTTGGGAGCCTGCATCTTCTGTTTAAAAGAAGATGAGAGAAAAGATAACATAATATTTATGTTATTAACATATAAATAATATCGTGTCTGGTTCAAACAGCCATGCAATACAATAAAGTAACAGCCCAACCAAATGGAAGAGGTTAGTCAATGACACTACTGAAAGTCATGCAGCTAACTTCACAACAACTAACAGTGCCTGTCCCATCTTCTTTAAAAGAGTAAATACTAAACACAGCAGTTGATCTAGGCCTGGAAGGAGCTGCTGACACAGTCCAAAGGAAAGGCATTTATCTGCTGATACAAAGGCAGATGTTTGCCTTTCTGACAAGTGCATAACCAGTTTCGAACTGCAAGAATTAATGTCAATACTCACTGAGAGTAGCCAAAGCTGACTGAAGATGGAAAAGCACAAGATTATCCTTGTTCCGTGTTCTCCAGTAATTCTTAATATACCATTTGCTGTCAACTGCAACTCTCATTTTCACTTTCCAGTCCACTTGACTACTTCACACTGTTCTCTCTGTTGCTGCTACCCAACAGTAGGACTCCTTGAGCTGCTTTCAAGTTGCCTGCCTGTCTAGAAGGACTTTCTGAAGCAATGTGCATGCCGTTCTGACCACTTGCTGTAAGATCAGCAAGTCTCAGATATAGAGATTTGGTAATCAAAGATTGCTGTTCAAATAAAGTAGTAGAAGAAATTTGAAGCAACTTGCCTCCACAAATGAAGGAAAGAGAGTTAGGCCATGAAAAACTGCAGCCAAAAATTGTAAGACAAGTACCCCCCCAAAAAAGTAATTTGAGTATACACACTAGAATACAAATTCAGGGCCTTTTTGGCATTTGGGGGGACAGCTGACCTCATAGAAAAGAATTTATACCCCGAGGTAATCTATTGTACGCCAAATCAGTGTTATATTCAGGCATCACTGTCACCCAAACTCAAATGCTGCAGCACTGAAGCATGAGTGCCTACCTCTGTAGCCTCTAAAATGGTTTCAACTTTCTGTTTCAGAATTTTAACAATACCAGAAAGCTGAGTGTTTGCTGCAAGGTTTATAGCAATTCTCCTTTCTCATTATGATGGCGACTTTTCCTTACAGCCTTTCTGCTAAATAAAAAAATTGTAGCTGGCGGTTTTCTATTGCTTACTTTGAATTGATTCCTGGGTAAGCGTGTCTTAGCATTGGTCTGCATAACCTCCTCCAGTTCTGGCATTTTATCTGACCTAACCTTGGAATCACCCCTTATGAAGAGTGTGAAATTCCATTGTTTATTAATCTACTCTGCAATATCCAGGCCTTGAATTTCCTGCTTATCTGGATGTTCTGAGATGAATAGGTAAAAGAAATGAATTTTAAATTATTAAATTTGCCCTGTATGTGCATTGTCCTACTTCCTTTTTGAGGCTAAAGTCATTGTCATGATAATCGAGCACTAAGATTATTTATTTCTATTGTGACTCAGAAAGTCTCTTCCTCTCACACACATATGTTTAATAGTTTCCTTGACCTTTAAAAAAGATAAGAAGAAAAATCAGGCTGTGTGGTAATCTATGGCTTAACCGTCAAGAAAATCCATCATCAGGCCACAGCATAATACAGCACTCTAAAAGCCTGATACGAGCTTGCTCAAGAGCCAAAACACAGCAATGTCACAGGGAAAAAAGGATGACTCATAAGCCTCGTGTTTCTAATGAGCTGCTTCGATGAGGACAGGAGCTGGAGCTGCTAACCCCTCCTTGTCTTATGCCCTGCAGGACACACAGGTGCACTGTGCTAAAGGACAAGGATGAGATCCACATCTAATGGTGAAGTTGCAGCTGAAAGATTTTTAATTCCATTGTGGCTTGTTTGGTACCCCAGACCAGGCTGGTCTACTGCCTTTAGCATATGGGCTGAGGAGGGGAAGAGGCCACAATTGCTCTGGATGCTGCAGTATTCCTTGGAGGGTTTGTCTGTGTGAGCTGGTTCGGCGCTGCTACTGCTCTGGAGCTAAAGAAGGAGAAGCTATAAGGAGGAGCCTCAGCTGACCAGGAGCTGCAAACTGCACAAAGATAGAGGATGAAAGCACAATTCTCTCTGGGATCTGAAGTCCAAATCATGTACAGTTGTCTCACAGAATTTTCTGACTATACTGCCAAAACTCCAGGTTGGGCCAGCCAAGCACACAAGTTCAAGCACAGGACTACATTAGTGCAACTACAGAGTTTTCCAGACCAGAGCCAGCTCCCATGTAGCTAGTTCAGAGCAGGTCAGAAAAGTTAACAGCTGTATTCATATGGGTATACATGTACTTCAGCTTGTTTTAAAGTTTTTTAAAGGAGGAAAAACTGCAACAAAAGAATAAAGTTAATATAACTTCCACACTCAAACCCAGGCACTACTGGTGAATTTATAAAACCTTCCATGACTTATTCTTTATCCTATAAAGAAAATGTACTGCCTCCATGTGCTTTTTTACTAATATTTTTTGACAAAACTATTGCCCCTATATGAAAAATTTATTAGAGAAAATATTAAAGAAGGCTTAGGGTCTACACCCTGTTCTAAGCAATCCTTCACAACTTCTCATATAGGCAAGACAGGAAAATATTCTCATTGACAGATGTCTGACATTAAATAAATAAATAAATAAATAAATAAATAAGCAGCACTTTCTCCATTTGAGAGCATTGCCTCTGTAATAATTCACTGAACCTCAAGACTGTGTCCCTGCCAGAACAAGCCCCAGGTCTATCAGACTTGATAAAAACACTCATACATTCTATGACAATTTCATTCACATTTAATAACAAAGAAAAGGTTTCAGTAGCATTTTTCTCATATTGGTGGCAGCTCAATAACTCTGCATAGCAGTGTTCATCAGGAAGTATCCCAAAGTACATTTACAGGGTGCACAGGGAATTCACATGCCCGTCATTATTAAGTAGCTGTCATTATGGTGGTACGCGATAGTCACTATGCATGAAATAGTAGAGATTTTTAAAGCTGGAAAAACATACCATGCATTTCTAGGAGGGGAAACTTGACCAAAGAACAATCTCTGGACTTCCCTTCTATTAGTTAGTTTTTAGTAGTTTGCCATATTTACCCATAGTGCACAAAGAAACCCAGTAGCCTTCTGGAAATATCTTCCTGCAGTGGCTGAGTATCAAGAAAGCTTATCAGGATCTGTGCACTGATCACCAGCCAATACAGATCACTTTGAGTCACAGGGCTTTACGCAAACTTCAAATCTCTTTCCTTATTACTCTTATTGACGACAACAACTTTTCTCTGACTAACATTTAACAAAGCACCTGGATCTCTGCCTCCTCCTCTCAGCTCTCTTTATCTCCCTGTGAACAGGCCATCAGACAAGGAGACATACCATTAGTGTGGGTTTCAACTCATCATTTTTACAGTTATCTTGACAGCCGCCTGGAAACCAGCTGACTTTCCTCGATCTCTCCAGGGCTACAGGAATGAGCATTTGGGCAAAGATCAGACCACATACATGCATTGCCCACAGCAAGGGAAGCTGCTGTGCAGCTGCTGTGCAGCTGCTGGCAGCTGATCCACACACAGGCTGCAGAGCTGATGCGTCCTGGACATGTTGTACTCTGTGCACAAACAGGCTAATTTGCACCTCTGCAATAGTTGTGACTCATCCTGTCTTTCTCAGAGCTATTTCTGTGGTGCAATAAATGTTTTAATGCACAGCAATCATTTCCTGATGTGCCAGGCTCTTTCAATCAGGTAAGTAGTAATCTGCTCTCAAAGGAACCAAACACAAGAATTTAGAGGAAATTTGTGCATTGCTACCTGTGGCCACTAAAAAAAAAGGCTGTAATTGGTCCGGTCCAAGCTCAATGCAGCCCATTCCTTGGTGAGGCTGTCACTCTACCAGAGATTTCTATTGCTGTAATTGTTCCTGGTCTCAGCCTCACTTAAAAAATGGTTCCAGAGAGAAGATGGCAGAAGGCATGTGACATGGTAAATACTGTTTGTGGTATTTAGCAGGGCTCTGCCTTATGGGCTGGAGAGAAAAAAAAAAAAAATTAGCAAGACAATTGCAGTGAACATTTTGTCTTCAAGAGATAGTGACAGCCTTAAAGACATTTAGCACCTCAGAGACATCTGCTAAACTGAAAACAGATAAAACTAGAATCAAGCATTTCTCAATAGCAGGGGTGAACTTGAAGTGCAATCATTATGCTAGTCTGCTTCATGCTGTACAACTTTATTTTTAATTATTATTTGCCTTCAAAAGAGCACTTTGAAGTGCTGCTGAAATAAAAGCCCTGATGCGATAGGCAAGGGACAAATTCACAGTGAAAGGCTATCCCTGCCTAGTAATAGATTTCAAAGCTGTTAAGTACATTTTGGGGAAGTGCCTCTATTTCATGTCAAATACAATAACCTATCCTTCTGGATGCTTATAGTTTTCTTCTGTCAGTGTATGTTCTCATCTACTCATAGAACAGGGTGAAAAAATGTGGGTCATTATAAGGCAGGATTCAAACTGTGAAAATACTTTGGCATGCCAAAAAATCATAAACCTCTTTCTTTCCTCTTTTCTCATCCCTACACATGACGAATAGTGTAGCCTTTGTATTAAATCAGAGTGCTGTACTTCTGTCTTTATGTTAGTGTATTTACTAAACTGTCAGCTGTAACACCCCTTGAAATGAGTTTATAGCCATTTGCTTACTTTGAAGGTATTCGAGAAGACTTCCATATCTCATCAGCTCAGTAATAATGTAAATTGGGTCCTCCAAAGTGCAGACAGCATAAAGCTGTATAAGCTTTGGATGTCTCAAGTTCTTCATTATTTGTGCTTCCCTCAGAAAGTCTTTTGGATCCATTGAACCTGAAACAACAGCATATAACAAAACATAAGCTGAGGTTATTAAAGGCCTTCCTACCAGCCTGGCAGTCTTAAGAGAATAACTGAGATTGTTTTCTGTCTTTCAAAGTACATTAGCATCTCAAATCTTCACAGTTCCCCCAGAAAACAGACAGTGCAGCGGAAATAAACAGTTAATGTCCATACCAGTTGCTCAGGGACAGAGAACATATGTGTTCCAGCCTCCAGAAATATAAAGGCTAAAATTAACCACCCCCTGCCCTCCACCGAACAGGAAAAAAAGTGAGGATAGACTGTTAACTGATATAATTTAAGCAAACAACTATGTTACAGCTGGTTAATGAAATGACCGAAGACTGAGGAAAGAGTACCTAGGTAATGAACATAAAATTTCTGACTGAAAAATAGTGCTTCAATAAGAATTTATTGCGCCATTTTTTCTGCTTCAGCCATCAAAGCCTGAAAGCATTGAAATCATGTTCGCATATAAGGAGTAGATGTGTGCATTTATATAAATAAATAAGAAAAACTAAGATTCACATAATAGCAACCTTATTAGAAATCCCAATGTCTGCATAGATGTAACACTAATTTTACGTTCCCTTAAATGAAGAAGTATCTTAATGGGCAATGATTCCAACTTTTTAATTGTTAGATCAGGTCATAATATCTCTAGATCATACACTGTATCAAAGAAACCATACAGAAATGGCACAGGGAGTTAAAATCAGTGTCATGTTCAGCATTAGAGCTCATATGTCCTGAGTAGGGAATTGATTAGAAAAAGTATACACAAATTAAGAAGCAGAGCTTTCTCTGTGAATGATCCAGTAGAGATCAGATATTCTCAGATGTTTGAGGAAGATGGTAAATAAAATCTACCTCACAATATTTGTAGAAATAAATGTGAAATTATCCAACTAGTCAAATATTTCCTTCCCCAAATCAAAACAGCTTCATTAAGAAAAGTCTACAGTCTAGGTGGGAAGGGGAAATGTACCCAAGTCTAGTTTGCTCTATGCCACATTTGAAAACAAACTCTTTTCTTAGTGTAAGCAGAATGAGTCATTTGAGAAGCCAAAGCTGCAAGAGTCTTTATTTTGTTTTTTTTTTTAACATTAGGTAACCAATAAGGTTCATTTGGGAGTTTGGCTCTGTTCCAAACATGAATGTTTAAATGAAGCAAAATGCTGGGAGGATGCTAAATGGCTCAGCAATAAAACTGCAGCAGAAAATCTGTTCTACAGAATGCACTTGTAAATCAGCACAGGCACCTTCGCCCTAGCATCTACCTTGAACATCACCTCCTGAAAAGTGCTCCAACCTATTTTCCAAAGCATAGCAATGATGTGTGATTTCAGAACCTTGTATCAATGCAAAAGGAATGACTCAGAAATGCTTCTGATACAGACTTTATGAAAAAAGAGCCACTTGACTTTGTAACTTATGAGAGCAAAGATTATTGCACGAGAAAGGTGCTTCTCTCCCGTGTCCTCATATTTTCCTTGGCAATCCCATGGGGTCCAATTTGACAATACTGTGTAGCATGCCCTTAGGAGGAATGGTGAAAGTTAATGGATTTCCATGCTATCAATAAATGGATAGCAGCCAGTAATACATCTAAGTAGGTACAGGCTATACCCGTTTCTTTTTGTCACTGTCGTAGGAAAGTGGTGGCTTGCATGAAAAGCAAATGACTCATATTTGGTCTGGATAAAACAGAGATCAGGACAGTCAGGTGGAAAAACACATCTGCAATGCTAATGTTATGACCTTTTCCTGTTTAAAGCAGCACATTCTTTACTGCTCTGTTTGAACTTTACACCAATCTTAGGTTGTGAAATAAAAAACTAGGGTTGTGTTTATAGAGTTTGGACTCACCTTAGTACTGATTTAATACTGTGTTCCATTTCCTTACTCTTTATAAGATATATGCATTTGTCATGGAAATCACCCTAAAGTCTATAAAGAAGCTGCATGGTATGAAGTATTCTGCCTCTAAAGGTAAATGCATAAGCATGACAAGTGATTTAACATCAGTGCCAAAATTAGACAAGTTGATCCTAAAAAGGATAGAGTATATACTAACTTGGGGTCTACCACATAACCTTCCCTCCTCTATGGATCATTATACAGGATTTCTTCATACCACAGAAAATGACAGTCTGATTTGTTCCCATCATCAAAGTTTGCCTAGAAGGAATCTCTGAGTTTAATCATGTTATAAAATTCTTCCAACAACTGAAACCAAGCAACATGTTTTTCACATACGACAACTTCCAATAAATTTATCAGGAGGGAAGTATTCTATTATCCAAAGAGCAGCAAATCCTTCTTTACTTTGCAGAAGTAATTGATTGTAATAATGATAACCAGTGACAAAGATCACTTAGTATTCCCTGCATATTTTAAAGAGCCTATGTAACCTCTGGTTTTATTTTGTTCATATCTTTAAATAGCACAAGTAGCAGTGACCAAAACCCCTCAGAGCCCTGTAGCTCTTATACTGTAGTTAATAAGTTGGTTGGATGCTGACTGAAAAAAGTGTCTTTATCAGTGTTTTGTCCAAGATTAGCTTTTAGCAACTAGATAAGCAAAGTAGAAACTGCTTCTAAACCCAAGCAAACATGATTATTATAAACAATAGATAAAGCCTGTCACAATAGTGCCAAAGAAGTTCCCATGCATTTCTTTGAGGAAGTTTATATAAGTGAAATATATAAAATATATGCCACCTGGAGTTTCAGATAACTGGACTTTTTTTCCTTAGTTCGTAGTTGAATTAATGTGGTTTTGATGAAGCATGTTTTCAGCAGCAAGTGGTAAACAGTATCAAGAGCAGATTACTGTAAGTAGAAACCACCTGATCAAAAACCAACTAGTCAACAGAAGCCTCTACTGAAACAAGTATCCATTGTAAAAGACACCAATTAGGAGCAGAATGATGAATACCGAAAAAATAAAGTTTTAATAATTTGGTTTTTGAATGAAAAATGCTTTTGTAAATGTCAGAGTCCCTAAGAATAAAATGTTGGAATTTGTTTCTTTAATGCGTTCTATGATGCACTGCTTTGCCTCTACTTTGCCTCTACTTTAAGCCTACTTAAAGCCAGTAATACCACTTCTGATTACTTTCTTTCTGAAAATTTTTTTCCAGTATTGAGAACACTTCACTGTATAAGATGAAGACTCATAATGTGGAAATGAGTTAGAGAAAGGTCAGCCATTTTCCAGCTTTCACTGGCCTAAAGCTGAGTGGACCTTAAATATTTAACAAAAGCCTCCCTTTGTTTGCAACTTTCAATAAACTTTCCCAAATGACTTCAGACTACCCTTGGCCTTCAGAGCAACCTTGCTTTCTGAATAAGTTTATTCAAAATGAATTAATGTGCAGAGTACCCTGAGCGTATGTTGCAATCTTCTGAATAAGATTATGTGTAATAAAGAAATATAACATTAAAAAGACCAAGTTTTCGGTAACACAAGAGACTGAATGTAAACTATGCACATTTACAGGAGAATATCTCAGGTACCTAACAATCCCCAAGCAGCTTTCTCACCATACAGCAGTGAAATTACAACTTAGTGTAAGGTTAGGTACTGAACTAAATGGAATAAAAGAGTTTCTTCTTTTCAGGGAAACTGAGCGGCTTTCCTGATTGCAGAGCATTTTACACTGCGTATGCGTATGCACTAAAGAGATGACATATTGAAGAACTGAAAATATTATTAAAGCCTCCACTGACAGCACCAACCAGAGACTATTTTGGGAAAGCCTCCTGAAAAATAAAAAATAAAAAATCATGCTTGGGCAATTTCCATGCAAAGAGAGAAGCATGGGAGATGCTTTACAATGTGGTAATGACAAATGCATCTGTCAACTTGAATAGGCATAAGGAACTTTCTCAGATAGGATTAATTGGTGATGATAGATGTCTGCTTTACATGCTGACAGTTGGAGAAGCAAGCTACTCCAGACAATAGATTCTAGAGAACCCATCACACTCAGCACAGGACAAAGAGCAAATCCCTGCTGCAATGATTTCCACTTAAATAGAAAAAATAATGTCACAGTGAGGAAATAAAAACAGAAATGTGAAATGACATGTCCAGGGACCTACAGCAAGACAGTGGTGTGCAAAGCCAAGAACAGAAACAGCAATTTTCCTATTTTTTCTATCTGCTGATCCCTACACCTCTTTGATGACTGTGGGTCAACAACTTAAAAGTCAGAGATGATCCTTAAGGCGAAGATGTTCTTGTGTTTTGGTTTTTTCATTCACACATTCATCACTATGTTTTTGCTGGTAAAGTGTCACTAATGTCTCCAAAGTGGAGTCAAAACCACCAGTGAACAAAAAGAATGAGGCATCACATTACTACTGCTTTTTTGTGTAATCACTGTAATCAACAGATTGCAATAAGGATTCAGAGAGGTAACAGGCAAAACATGGACTGAATTTTGAGAATTTCATTTGGGAATGGTACGGAGTATCAGTTATTGTGATTGTGGTGAAGGCACAAGGCTGTGTCTAAATTGTCCACTTTGGTGCTGTTATGATATTATTTCGATTTTGGTGTGGGGAACTGTTTTTGTTGATGTGAGAGAAGTTTGCGAAGTTAGTGTGATCAGTGTAGATTTTCATGAACATTCTTAAATATGTGATTCACCGAGGTGGGGTTATAAAGTATTGGGTTTGCACAGCAAGGTTTTGGTAGAGGTGGGGCTAGAGGGGTGGCTTCTGTGAAAAGCTGACAGAAGCTTCCGCCATGTCCAATAAAGCCAATGCCAGCCAGCTCCAAGATGCACTCACTGCTGGCCAAGGCTGAGCCCATCAGTGACAATGGTGGCACCTCTGGGATAACATATTTAAGAGAAAAAAAAAAAACAAACAAACCAAAACCACCTGCACCATAGAAACTGCAGCTGGAGAGAGGAGTGAGAATATGTGAGAGCAACAGCCCTGCAAGACAGCAGGGTCAGTGTAGAAGGAGGGTAAGAG